ATAAAGCTGTGGAGAGTATGTGCTGCAGGGAGGTGGATGCACAACGCACCCAGGAATGAACGCTAGCTCCGGTCCTTTTTACTGTGGACTCGATGTCCTGACAGGCTGGTATTTGTGCAACCTGCACAAACACAATACTGCACCATGATTACAAATGGTGAAATACAATGTAAAACTACCGAAAAATACAACCGCTCTACTCAACGCAACTCTACTATACCCGCGGTCAGAGAGCGGAGATGTGTCCCCTGCGTGATGTAATATGACGCGTTTGACGTATGACCTTAAAAAAAAGCCGTTTTTAAGAGCAGAGCTCAAAATTGCTCCTTTCCCTCTGAATTCCTGCCCTTATGTCTCGTAAAACATATCAAATCCTGCATTCAGTTTTTTAATTGTAATTTTCAAGCAAGTTTAAGCATAAATGTAGAAAAAATAAAAACCTGCAAGATGCTCTTTAAAAAAGACTTCAGCTTAGTGGCGTACCTCTGCTCTCTTCTTATGCAGTCGTTCCCTCAGGTCTCCGATGCGTTGGTCCATCACCGTCACCTGGGCGTTCCTCTTGTTCAGCAGATCCTTGTTCTGGGCCAGCTTGCTGCTCTGCTCCAGGTTATGACGGTTACGAGCCTGAAACACAAATGATAAAAAGTCGCACACACTCTTGAAGATATTGAAATGAAATGTTGTATTCAATATCTGTTTGCTTGGAAATAAAGTATTATCACATCCTATACAGAATGAGATGGTGTTACCTGTAGCTCCTGGTACAGTTTCCTCAGTTCCAGGGCTGCAGGACCAGACAGGGGTGATCCTTTCTGGCCGGTGTGTGGCCCCAGGGGCCCGCTGTGAGGCCCCTGGGCGTGTGGAGCAGAGTGTAGCTGAAGGCGTCCTTTCTTTAAATCATCCAGCTGCTGCGTCAACTGGTAAAAACATTTAGAAAGAACTTAAGGACTCATCCAAACTTAACGCTTTGCTAGGTCTTGACTGTTACAGTGAAATAGTGAGACGTTACCTGGTCCACTCTGACCACGGCAGACTGCAGCTCCGTCTGCTTCTCCTGGAACAGGCTGCTCACATGCTCAATCTCTGCAGCTGGACACACACAACAGGACATTTGACTTCAGTATTTTCTTTTGCTTACTTATCAAGCCTATTTCAGAATCATAAATACTTTGTTTATGCTGGGGGGAATTGGATTTTGTGACTGTTGTTTCATTTTAGACTGAAATAATCAGTACAATTGAATACAGATATTTATATAAACATAAGAAGTGTAGGAAAAAGTATGCATTGAAAAGAAAAAATGAGATAAAGATAAACAAGAAGTCAAAGTAAGAATGTGCAATAAAAGTCAAATATAATAAAGAGGAATATTTACACACAAAGTTATTGTAAAATGTATAAACATAAAAAGTCAAATTAAAATGTCCATTTATTTTATATTACCATAAGAAGTTAAAGTAAAAACTGAAAAAACTATTTATAACATGTATTACAATGTACATAATGGTTTATAAGTTAATAGGATATAAATATTGAATTGCGCATTTGAAGAGGGTTTGGCTGCTGATGGCGAGCATCCTTTCCAACATTAACAACAGTGACAGTTACGTTTGTCTTTATGTTTACAGCAAAACAAATACAAACTAACCACATGTGGTTCGTATATGGCCTATAGTGATGTCAGTGTTTCCCCTAGGTTTACTGCGGGGTGGGGGAGGGGTTGGTGTTGGGATAAATATATTCTTTAATCCTCTGGAGCAGAGAGAGGAGCTGTGGATTATTAATGCATCAGTGTTTCTTAGGGTCAGAATCACTAAACTAACAGCTTAAAATGAACGTTTATTTAATAAAAGAGCACATGTTCAATGTTAAAAGTGATAGTAGATAGTTTAGTTGCAATTTGGTGCAGCGCGCCACCAAGGCAATGGTAGGGGAAACACTGGGTGTATTAGTTTTTGATCAAGTGTATATTCAGCCACACTTGGCCAAGGCTTCCCTCTCTATTGAATCATCAATATGTAGTCAGAACACCAGCCACTTCTCTACAGAGTCTCTGCAGATTGTTTGGGGCTCACAGAGGTTTCCGTTGATCAGTTTGCTGTAGTCCACCTGTCCTCTCATGGCGCGAATCTTCTTCAGCTTGGCTTCCTGCGTCTCCACCCGCTCCTTCAGCCGCTGCAGCTTCTCCGCCTCAGACTAAACCAGAGAGGACACAAGCTCAAACACCCATCTCATTTCAGCTTTCGTGTGACACACATACATGTTGAGATAAATAATCATTTGGAAGTTACTGGCTTCACCCAGCTTATGTTCACCTAACAGACGGCCGTTAGTCGACGTTGGTGATCATAATGAGGATATTTTACAACAGGGCTTTAACCTATGGGCATCTGTGAAGTTAACTTCTAGGTATGCCTGCTACAAAGTGTAATGAGCACCCTACAGTGCGTATAGGATCAAAGGTTTTTGTCCTGAGCCTTAAACACACATGGAGCCCACCTGTGTCTGTCCATGGTTGGATCTGCCTCCCTGGTGAAGATACTTCAGTCTCTGCTCCTGGAAGAAAAGCAGAACGGGAGATTTTTTACTTTCACCTCACACATTATACGGAATATATGTGACGTTTTTTTTCCGTTGAGAATTTCATTTCTCAATTCTGACATGCAATGTAATAATATCTAAAATGACTGCATTCTATTTAAAGAGGAGCTTGTTTCAGGATCCTAGTTTCGTTCATGCTGGCCCACAAAGACATCTAGGGCGTATACTACGAAGCGAGTTCAACATTTGACTTAGCTGGCCTGATAAAACTAAAACCCCTGATCAGAGCTAACGGGTACCAGGAAGCTGGTTATTGACTGTCTTTGTGAACCTGGGATTTTTCTTCAAGCTCTGTGCGCGTTCTCAAAAGAATGAGCGTTTAAAGCATCATATGACTCATCTACCTCTTGGAAAGGATCCATCGCTGCGTTTAAGAATATTCAAAAAATGTAATTTACCGGCCGATGCCTCCCATTATTATCTAATTCAACCGCAAATTGAAAAGTAAAAAAAATAAAAATAATTGACTTGAGGGAAACGGGGAAATCAACGGGCCATATTAAATCAAAATGAATTATATATTAGATGAATACCAATTGACTAATTCATTTACTAATTGGCTTTGTATTAGTTGCAATATACCAGCAGTGTAAGATGGATTTCAGAGGCATAAATACATAACAAAAATGTATCGTTACCGCTTGAGTTTACATATAAAAAGTATTCCCACAGCTGATTATCTGTGGCGCTTATAGATTGACTATACTGTAATGTGACACTATTGTCAAAATAAATAGTTAGTCAATGGCAGTATTTGCTACATTTCAAACCTAGACTCTGAACATAACCTGTTCCGGAGCATGGTGATCTACTATGTTAAAAGACATCCACCTTTCTTATCGGGAAAACTCTGGCTTTAAGCTCTACATACCTAGCAGTACACCCCTCTGATGGAGCATTGTATTTGTCTCACCTGTGCTTCTCCTGCTATGACAAGTCAATTTACACCATTACATTGTTATTATTTCACAGGGGAGATGACATCACATGTTTACCATCATAGCTCCACCAACGTTCAACCTGCCTTCAAGTCTAATTAGCCATTTCTCATTAAAAACACCTGGCAGCACGATCCATCACCCTGCTTTACTTTCACCATGTTTTGTCACATTTCTAAAACATGATCGATTAAAATACACTTATATTGATTATCATTTATTTTGCATACACATATTATAAAGCAAGTAGAGGGAGAACAGACAGAGTGTGTGTGGTGCTGACTGAGGCAGTTTGCAGCTCACATACACTCAGAGGAAGAGGGAAATAGAATGTTGGCATGAAGCCTCCCATCATTCACTGGAAACACACACACACTCTGATAACACATTATATAGACCCTCCAGAAGAACGCGGGCAAAAATCCTTGATTATGCGGGCTAAAATCCTTGATTATGCGATTAAACATGCAGGGTTTTTATGTGATTTTATGCGGTGGAATTGTGGAAAGTTGCAAAAAGAATAGATTTTTTTTTAAATATTGGGCTGTCTTATTTATTCTCTCTCACACACAACCTGCCACTAACGTTAAACCCATTTTGCTGATTATGCAGTAAATTCTGCGATCGCAGAATCGCGTTTTTCTGGAGGGTCTAATTATATAATGGTAGCTCGTTTCAATACACAGGGCATGTGGGAGGTGCCAGTACAGGAGCTGTGTTTTCTTCTTGGAAGTCATCAATCACCTTTAGAAATGTTACGAGGATAGAAAGTGCCTCTACGCGGCTGCTGGGAGACTTTTCCATTCAGTAACTCAAGAAAAGACTTGGAAACACTTACACACACTGGCTGGAAACACTTAAAAGATGCCACTTAGAGGGAAAATTGCTGCTTTTAAAAATGCTGAGCATAAGCATAACTTGGCCAAATAATAATAACACAGTTGGCCTTGAAAAACCCAAATTGGCCAAATCTAAGTTAGAGCTTAACAATATCCCAGTTCCCCGCTGAAAGCTTTTTTATTACACTGTGACTAAACTTCATCAAATGAATTAAATAAATGTAAAGATGTTTTTTTGGCTTGCCTTTCTGTGTCTTTCCTGGAGTTTTAATCTGTTTCAACTTCCCACAGCAGCTCCCTGATGACCACATTTCCTGTCAAATCAAAGGTCACTTCCTACTGTGGGAATGGCCATGATCTGGGCCTCTCTCACACACACACACACACACACACACACACACACACACACACACACACACACACACACACACACACACACACACACACACACAGAGAGAGCTGTTGGATGGATTGTCTGTCAGTAAGTGTAAGGTTATCTACATTAGAGTCTGTCTTAATAGGTTGTATTTGAGGCCCCAGAAGCGACTTCTTTGGAGGAATGTGTGTGTGTGTGTGTGTGTGTGTGTGTGTGTGTGTGTGTGTGTGTGTGTGTGTGTGTGTGTGTGTGTGTGTGTGTGTGTGGCATGCACAAGTTACCTTGGCGACCAACATCTGTTGCTGAGCCTCTATTTGTTGCTGTTGTCTTGTGGCCATTTCCTGGAGCTCCGAGAGGGTCAACTCCACACGGGGAACCTACAACACGACAAAAGAAAATGACATATCAATACTGTATGTCCATTGGAAAAATGTGTGTTTTCTCCTCCATCACTGTTTTAATAATATTACTGAGTTTAGGCTTTTTTCAAAGATAAAAATCCTCATCTGGTTGATCTGGAACCCTCAACTCCTAAAAAAAAAATGGAAGCAAACGAATCACATTACCAAGTTTGACCCAAACTTCCTCCCGTTATTCCAGTGTGTATTTTTAGCAGTAAGAACCATGATCACTACCTCGCCGTAACGGCACATCTGCACTTATTCGCTTAAGGTGTGGTAAAGACAGAGGAAAGGCCTTTTGCCGAACCATGCTCCAGTTTCTTTAGAATACGCCCTGTGTAAAGGGAGGCGTGTGGCGCAGTGGATAGATTCTTGGTGTTGGGATCAGGGGGACACAGGTTCAAACCCCACTGCAGTCAGCATGTCATTGTGTCCCTGGGCAAGAAACTTCACCCCAAATTGGTCCTGTGGGGATTGCCCACAGTATCGAGTATGTAAATCGCTTTGGATAAAAGCGTTTATACAGATTATACACATTATACAGAGGGTTATCACTCTCTGTTTCAGCAGCTTTGTCGACGCGTTAGCTAAGTGTCCGAAAATGTTGCGGACTTCTTGAAAATAATTCAGAAATCATGTTATAATTAAGTAAATAACCACACCAAACTTGTATTAATTTTTTCTCCCCACAAAATGAAGTCGAAACTAGTATTCGAAATCTGTGATTCGTCCCAGATTATAACAGTGACTAACGCAATGTTTTTAAATAGATTCACACCAGCTAAAACGCAAAAAGAGCTTTATACTATAAAAACAGGGGAACATGGACCGTTTTAATCTCCAGGGATCGACCGGCACAAGAGTTTCGTAAGCAGTGTTGGGAAAGTTACTTCCAAAATGTAATACAGTACATATTACTTATTACTGTCTTTTTTAAGTAATATGTGACATTACAATATTACTGTCTCTGAACTACTTTTATACTAATTTTGAGTTACTTTACCAAAATGACAGCAAAAGAATGGCTAGGTATTTTAAATGCTAAAATGTACAGCTCATTATACATCAAGTGAAGGGCAATTTGGTATAGCATAACAAATGTGTAGGCCCTTAAGGCTACTGACAACTTGTATTACACGGCTTAGTTGAATACTCGATTCTGATTGTAAATTCTTAACATGTGACACGCAGTGGCGTAGCGGAGGCCCCCGCACCCCCCGCAGTGCTGGGGAGCCCCGGACCTTAGGGGGCCCCGCCCCCACTGTAGGCTATCCTCTTAGATTTCGTAACGCGGGAACAGGGCGCAGAGGGCGGGGCCCCCCACTCCCTGCTATGTTGCTAGGCACCCTGTCCCCGTCATGTGTACGCTGCCTGTAGTAGTACAACAGTGTATCATTATAATTATTTGCTGACCTGCGATAGGGCTAGCCGGCTGATAACTAATGTTCATTGGCAGGCTGGGCAGCGTTCAAAACAAAGCGGTTCATTAGTTGCGTTGCCGGTAAACATGAAAAATGAAGCGCCACTACCCAAGCGGTGCTCAGAAAAGCAAAATGAGAGCGGAAGCCGAACAGGAGAGGGCAAAACTACCTAAAATAACGTCATTGTTCCGGCAGGCAGCAAAGGTAGACGTAGACTCTAACGTTACTGCAGATAGATCGCTAGCAACCCCCCCCGGCCCCCGGCCGTCAGCTCCGAGTCCAGGCAGACAGCCCAGCAGCCCCGTTACAGCCGAGCCAGCTAGTCGTGGCTCGCGCTTCGAGACAGGTTAGACATTAGAATAATAGAAAGTTTTATTCGCCATAACCAGTAAGAGTATGCTACAGGTTACATTGGAATTGGAATCTAATCCGTTCATTTTTGCAGGTCAGCAAGAAGTCAGCTGTGCCCCCTCCGAGGCCAGTTCAGACATAGCCAAGGTTGCCCAGCCAGTTAGCCGTGCCCCGACAGTGACAGCAGCTCCCACCCACCCTAGGGACACGTTGGCCAGCGACAACTCTGTGACTGAATACCCTACTGATAGGGGGAAATTCCCTGTAGATTTAGAAGACGATGATGTTAAACGGTACATTCTGAATAACGGGCCATGCAAGCCTGAAGGGCCATTCAAAAGGGATGGGAAGGGAAGGTGCTTTTCAAAAGAGTTCTATAACAAAACATCTAAAATTGGATGTAGAATTCCGCGCAAGTGGCTATGTTACTCGCCATCTATGGACCGGGTGTACTGTGAGCAGTGCTGGCTGTTCGGTGACAGACCGTCTGCCAATCACCTCCACCAAGCGTGGAGAATAAGAATAAAT